TCAAATCTCTCTTGAACAGTTTAGAATCATTTAAAACGCACGAGAAACATTCAGAACTCTCCATAATTAATCAAATCTCTCTTGAACAGTAAAGAATCATATAAAACGCACGAGAAACATTCAGAACTCTCCATAATTAATCAAATCTCTCTTGAACAGTTTAGAATCATTTAAAACGCACGAGAAACATTCAGAACTCTCCATAATTAATCAAATCTCTCTTGAACAGTAAAGAATCATATAAAACGCTCGAGAAACATTCAGAACTCTCCATAATTAATCAAATCTCTCTTGAACAGTAAAGAATCATATAAAACGCACGAGAAACATTCAGAACTCTCCATAATTAATCAAATCTCTCTTGAACAGTAAAGAATCATATAAAACGCTCGAGAAACATTCAGAACTCTCCATAATTAATCAAATCTCTCTTGAACAGTAAAGAATCATATAAAACGCACGAGAAACATTCAGAACTCTCCATAATTAATCAAATCTCTCTTGAACAGTAAAGAATCATATAAAACGCTCGAGAAACATTCAGAACTCTCCATAATTAATCAAATCTCTCTTGAACAGTAAAGAATCATATAAAACGCTCGAGAAACATTCAGAACTCTCCATAATTAATCAAATCTCTCTTGAACAGTAAAGAATCATATAAAACGCACGAGAAACATTCAGAACTCTCCATAATTAATCAAATCTCTCTTGAACAGTAAAGAATCATATAAAACGCTCGAGAAACATTCAGAACTCTCCATAATTAATCAAATCTCTCTTGAACAGTAAAGAATCATATAAAACGCTCGAGAAACATTCAGAACTCTTCAGAATTAATCAAATCTCTCTTGAACAGTTTAGAATCATTTAAAACGCACGAGAAACATTCAGAACTCTCCATAATTAATCAAATCTCTCTTGAACAGTAAAGAATCATATAAAACGCTCGAGAAACATTCAGAACTCTCCATAATTAATCAAATCTCTCTTGAACAGTAAAGAATCATATAAAACGCTCGAGAAACATTCAGAACTCTCCATAATTAATCAAATCTCTCTTGAACAGTAAAGAATCATATAAAACGCTCGAGAAACATTCAGAACTCTTCAGAATTAATCAAATCTCTCTTGAACAGTTTAGAATCATTTAAAACGCACGAGAAACATTCAGAACTCTCCATAATTAATCAAATCTCTCTTGAACAGTAAAGAATCATATAAAACGCTCGAGAAACATTCAGAACTCTCCATAATTAATCAAATCTCTCTTGAACAGTAAAGAATCATATAAAACGCACGAGAAACATTCAGAACTCTCCATAATTAATCAAATCTCTCTTGAACAGTAAAGAATCATATAAAACGCTCGAGAAACATTCAGAACTCTCCATAATTAATCAAATCTCTCTTGAACAGTAAAGAATCATATAAAACGCTCGAGAAACATTCAGAACTCTCCATAATTAATCAAATCTCTCTTGAACAGTAAAGAATCATTTAAAACGCTCGAGAAACATTCAGAACTCTTCAGAATTAATCAAATCTCTCTTGAACAGTTTAGAATCATTTAAAACGCACGAGAAACATTCAGAACTCTCCATAATTAATCAAATCTCTCTTGAACAGTAAAGAATCATATAAAACGCTCGAGAAACATTCAGAACTCTCCATAATTAATCAAATCTCTCTTGAACAGTAAAGAATCATATAAAACGCTCGAGAAACATTCAGAACTCTCCATAATTAATCAAATCTCTCTTGAACAGTAAAGAATCATATAAAACGCACGAGAAACATTCAGAACTCTCCATAATTAATCAAATCTCTCTTGAACAGTAAAGAATCATTTAAAACGCACGAGAAACATTCAGAACTCTTCAGAATTAATCAAATCTCTCTTGAACAGTTTAGAATCATTTAAAACGCACGAGAAACATTCAGAACTCTTCAGAATTAATCAAATCTCTCTTGAACAGTTTAGAATCATTTAAAACGCACGAGAAACATTCAGAACTCTCCATAATTAATCAAATCTCTCTTGAACAGTAAAGAATCATATAAAACGCTCGAGAAACATTCAGAACTCTCCATAATTAATCAAATCTCTCTTGAACAGTAAAGAATCATATAAAACGCTCGAGAAACATTCAGAACTCTCCATAATTAATCAAATCTCTCTTGAACAGTAAAGAATCATATAAAACGCTCGAGAAACATTCAGAACTCTTCAGAATTAATCAAATCTCTCTTGAACAGTAAAGAATCATATAAAACGCTCGAGAAACATTCAGAACTCTTCAGAATTAATCAAATCTCTCTTGAACAGTAAAGAATCATATAAAACGCTCGAGAAACATTCAGAACTCTTCAGAATTAATCAAATCTCTCTTGAACAGTAAAGAATCATATAAAACGCTCGAGAAACATTCAGAACTCTTCAGAATTAATCAAATCTCTCTTGAACAGTAAAGAATCATATAAAACGCTCGAGAAACATTCAGAACTCTTCAGAATTAATCAAATCTCTCTTGAACAGTTTAGAATCATTTAAAACGCACGAGAAACATTCAGAACTCTTCAGAATTAATCAAATCTCTCTTGAACAGTTTAGAATCATTTAAAACGCACGAGAAACATTCAGAACTCTTTAGAATTATTCAATACTCTCTTGAACAGTTCAGAATCATTTAAAACGATCGAGAACCATTCAGAACTCTCCAGAATTATTCAAAACTCTCTTGAACAGTTCAGAATCATTTAAAACGATCGAGAACCATTCAGAACTCTCCAGAATTATTCAAAATTCTCTTGAACAGTTCAGAATCATTTAAAACGATCGAGAACCATTCAGAACTCTCCAGAATTATTCAAAACTCTCTTGAACAGTTCAGAATCATTTAAAACGATCGAGACCCATTCAGAACTCTTTAGAATTATTCAAAATTCTCTTGAACAGTTCAGAATCATTTAAAACGATCGAGAACCATTCAGAACTCTCCAGAATTATTCAAAACTCTCTTGAACAGTTCAGAATCATTTAAAACGATCGAGAACCATTCAGAACTCTCCAGAATTATTCAAAATTCTCTTGAACAGTTCAGAATCATTTAAAACGATCGAGAACCATTCAGAACTCTCCAGAATTATTCAAAACTCTCTTGAACAGTTCAGAATCATTTAAAACGATCGAGAACCATTCAGAACTCTCCAGAATTATTCAAAACTCTCTTGAACAGTTCAGAATCATTTAAAACGCTCGAGAACCATTCAGAACTCTCCAGAATTATTCAAAACTCTCTTGAACAGTTCATAATCATAAACGCTCGAGAACCATTCAGAACTCACCAGAATTATTCTCAAATGTCTCCACAACTATTCAGAACCGTTCAGAATCATTTAAAACGCTCCGGAATCCTCCGAAACGATCCGCAACAGTCCTACAACGCTTTCTAAACGAATCCCAACAGCTCCAAAAAACCGCCTCCCATAGACCCCCCCCTCAACCCACCACCAACCCAACCCCTCTACCCCCTCCCTCCATCCACCCCTCCCTTCCCCCCCAAAAAAAAAAAACCACCAATTAAACCATCAAACAAAACAATATGCAAAACAAAACGGAAACATTTTATTCTCGATCGATAACAAGTCATCAGTTACAGTTACAGTTACACGTGTGTGCCCGGGCGAAGGAAGAAAATATATATATCTATTAAAATATGTACATACAACACATGACGAAATTATATTGGCGGCGCAAAACGGTAAAATACATAACCTCACTATGCCCCTCTCCCCCCCTCTCCCCTTCACTGAGAGGTAGGAGGGGTTTACCTCCCACCCTCATACAATGGGATGATTTAATAAGGGAGGGGATTTAATATAGTGTGGCGTTTCGGTAGGGGCTTTAGAGAAGAGTCAAAAGTCGAAGTTAGGTTGGTAACAAAGAGTACAAAAATGTTGACAAAAGTTGACGAGTGTCAAAATTTTTGACAAAATCGCCAAAAGTGTCAAAAGTTGACAAAATTGTCAAGTTTCGACAAAACTGTCAAAAATTGACAAAACTGTCAAAAAGTGACAAAACTGTCAAAAATTGACAAAAATGTCAAAACTTGACAAAATTGTCAAAAGTGTCGAAAGTTTCGAGAAAACTGTCAAAAGTTTCGAGAAAACTGTCAAAAGTTTCGAGAAAAATGTCTAAAGTTTCGACAAAACTGTCAAAAATTTCGACAAAACTGTCAAAAATTTCGACAAAACTGTCAAAAGTTTCGACAAAACTGTCAAAAGTTTCAACAAAACTGTCAAAAATTGACAAAACTGTCAAAAATTTCGACAAAACTGTCAAAAGTTTCGACACAACTGTCAAAAGTTTTGACAAAACTGTCAAGTTTCGAGAAAACTCAAAAGTTTCGACAAAACTGTCAAAAATTGACAAAACTGTCTAAAGTTGACAAAACTATCAAAAGTTGACAAATCCGCCAAAACTTGACAAAACTGTCAAACGTGTCGAAAGTTGACAAAAGTTGACAAAAGATGGAAAAAGTTGACAAAACTGTCAAAAATTTTGACAAAACAGTCAAAAGTTGACAAAAGAGTCAAAAGTTAACAAAACTGTCAAAACTTGACAAAAATGTCAAAACTTGACAAAAATGTCAAAAGTTTTGACAAAGCTGTCAAAAGTTTCAACAAATCTGTCAAAAGTTTTGACAAAACTATCAAAAGTTGACAAATCCGTCAAAACTTGACAAAATTGTCAAAAGTTGACAAAACAGTCAAAAGTTGACAAAACTGTCAAAAATTTCGACAAAACTCAAAAGTTGTCAACTTATTTTCGAATTTTCGCGCCAAATTGAACGTTCGCGACTATTCCATACGTCACTAAAGCCACCGAAAACGCCTTCACCAATTTACCACCACCCCTCCTATATCAAATCATCCCCCAAGTCACCCACTCTTCCCCCTTCCCCCCCTCCCACCCCTCTTCTTCTTCTTCTCCTCCTCCTACGCCGCCGCCGATCGGCGAGCCGCCGCCCCTCCACCTCCACCGCCCCCTCCTAAACCGCCATCTTGGCGCGGAAACGCCACCGGTTTCCCGCCAATCACGATGGCCGGTCCGGCGTAGTAGCGGACCAATAGCGAAGAGCCGCGCTTCAGCTGTCGCTTGGCCGACAAATCGCGATAGCAATCGATCCAATCGATGTAGTGGGGCATGAAATCGGGCGAGCCGGCCCTGAGGCCGCTGTTCGTCACCGCCATGCAATTGGAGATTACTTGAAACGGGTAGGTGACGGCGGTGGCTAAAAACTGGAAGAGAAAGAGGCCATCTTTTAATAATAATAATTGTACTTATAAAGGGTTTAATTTAACCTCTCTAGAATCATTTAGAACGTTTTAGAACTGTCTTTAAAATTGTCTTTAAATTGTCTTTAATGGCTTTAAAATTCTCTGGAATGATTTAGAACGCTTTAGAATTGTCTACAATTATTTAGAATGCTTTATAACTTGTTTAGAATGATTTATAACGTTTCAAAAATGATGAGAATCATTTAGAACAGTTTAGAATCATTTAGAACGCTTCAGAACTCTCTAGAATCATTTAGAACAGTCTGGAAACATTTCAAACGCTTCAGAACAGTGTAGAATCTAGTAATATCCCCAGATTTTAGTAATATCCCCAGAATCTAGTAATATCCCCAGAATCTAGTAATATCCCCAGAATCTAGTAATATCCCCAGATTTTAGTAATATCCCCAGAATCCAGTAATATCCCCAGATTTTAGTAATATCCCCAGATTTTAGTAATATCCCCAAAATCTAGTAATATTACCAGATTTTTTAGTAAAATTCAAATCATCTCACCGTCATACTAGCTGAAGTGTACACTTTCAAATCCTTCTCTTCAATAATGAAATTATTTATTGCATAAGTAAGACCGCTTGCCAATAAAAGTGATAAAATGTCGCCCAATAGCCTCGGTACGAGGCCACCGAAGAAACCGAACGTTCCGTTTTCCCGGTAAATTTCCTTCACCGAGCTGAAAATGCCGCTGGAAAAAAAATAATCGCTCGATTAGAATTGGTTAATTCGAAATATAAAGAGTGGGTGTTAAGGGTGAAAAGTTGTCGAAATTGAATCGTTTAGAGAACTGGCGCCTAGAACTGTTTTGAACTGTTCAGAATCGTTTTGGAAGAGTCTAGGACGCTACGGAATCGTTTAGAACTCTCTAGAATGATACAGAATCATTTAGAACTGTTTAGAACAATCTAGAACGCTTCGGAATAAATCAAAATCAAAACTGCGATCATTTAAAATCACACCGAAAACTTTTCGCCCTACCCTCGTAAATTCAAATTTACATTTTCCCCAGAATAGTGACTTTTTTTAAAATCTAATATCCCTAGAATTTTGTAAAATCACCAGATTTAGTGACTTTTTCAAAATGTAGTAATATCACCAGAATCTAACAATATCCCCAAAATATAGTAACACACCTTACACCATCTCGTTAGGCAATGACGTCAGGAGCCAGCCCGTTGCGACGTTGCCGGATTGTAATCGAAATCCTTTACATGACAGATATATTTTATTTATTATGTTTACTTTCTATGAAAAAAATCGCCATGAAATCTTAACGAAATTCAAGCAAATCGTATTCGAAGCTAGTCGAGCTGTCAATTAAAAAGCGCGAAATTTTTCAGACAAAATGCAACGGCAACATCGCCTTTTTGGACTTTAAACTACGCGTCCAGTGTTGCCGCTGCTATTACAATCGTAATAGATCTATTTACAATGAAGAGATTCATCTATTACGCTATTACTAATTGCCCAAAAATCTATTACAATCGCATCGAATCTAGTACACTTTTATTGCAAATTTCTATTACTCGAGAAGTTTTGATGGTGGCAACACTGTCGTTAAATTCCCCTAGTCGAATGAGAGAAATGACATTGACACTAGGGAAATGTTGAACTGCGTGGAAATTACTAAAAATTACGTCTTTGCCTAACGAGATGGTACAGGGTGGCACATTAGTATGGAAAAGCTCAATATATCTGTTATTATAGAAGATATCAAAAAAACTTAAGAAACCTTAATTTTTTTTCTTCAATTTTCCGTTCTAGTTTTTTTTTTTTAATTTAAATATCTCGAAAAGTGTTAACTTTAGGTATAGGGAATGGTTATTAAGAATGAAAGTACTTCAAAAATACTTCCTGTAAACGATATAAAATACAGGGTGATTCATTTAAATTAACAGAGAAAATGTTACTTTTGCGTTTGGATCCACCCTGTATATAGTATGATTAAAATTAACAAAAAATATTCATTTTATACATTTTCAGGATATTTGCAATGTTGTGAAACCTGAAATTTATTTTCAATTCAATCCATTTAGTTTCTACATAGTGATAAACTTAGTACGATTTTCGTGGAAAAGTGGTCATAACTTTTAAATAACTCAGTATAACGTTATACAAAATTATATTTTTGGAAAGCGGAAAACGAGCTTAATTCGATTTTTAAATAAAAAACAGGGTGTTCCATTTAAAAAAGTATAAGTTACGGAAAAACGGGACACTCTGTATAAATGTAACTAATTTTAAAATATGCAGCTTAAAAAGATCTACAACTTTTGTAATGAAGTTTTTTTGATATCTTCTATCGTTTATTATTATTATTATTATTATTATTATTATTATTATTATTATTATTATTATTATTATTATTATTATTATTATTATTATTATTATTATTATTATTATTATTATTATTATTATTATTATTATTATTATTATTATTATTATTATTATTATTATTATTATTATTATTATTATTATTATATTATTATTATTATTATTATTATTATTATTATTATTATTATTATTATTATTATTATTATTATTATTATTATTATTATTATTATTATTATTATTATTATTATTATTATTATTATTATTATTATTATTATTATTATTATTATTATTATTATTATTATTATTATTATTATTTACTTGTATTTGGTCTCTCTACCGATGAATTGGGCCATCATTCTGACGGTGACGACGTGAAACGGTTGACTAATCAAAATGGCCGCCGTGTGAGTCATAATGTCGCATTTCAAAATTTTCACAAAGTTTTTTCTCCTGCGAAAAGAAAAGAAAAAGAAAATGTTAGTTAGTTACTAACTTCTTAGTTAATATCCCCAAAATCTACTAGATTTAGTGACTTTTCATAATCTAGTTATATCCCCAAAATTTCAAAATTTTCTGTTATTTTCTCCTGCCAAAAAAAGAAAAAGAAAATGTTAGTTAGTTAGTTACTAACTTCTTAGTTAATATCCCCAAAATCTACTAGATTTAGTGACTTTCATAATCTAGTTATATCCCCAAAATTTCAAAATTTTCTGTTATTTTCTCCTGCCAAAAAAAGAAAAAGAAAATATTAGTTAGTTCTTCAGTAGAAACGTCCGGTCGAATGTAGAGGAGGATTTTCAAAAGACTTTTTCAAAATCTTGTAATATCCCCAGATTTTAGAAAAATAACCAGATTTAGTGACTTTTTCAAAATTTAGTAATATCCCCAGAATCTAGCAATATCCCCAAAATTTCAAAATTTTCTCCTGCAAAAAAAAAGAAAAAGAAAATGTTAGTTAGTTACTAACTTCTTAGTTTATCCCCTAGTAATATCACCAGAATCTAGTAATATCCTCAGATTTTAGAAAAATCACCAGATTTAGTGACTTTTCCAAAATTTAGTAATATATCCCCAGAATCTAGCAATATCCCCAAAATTTCAAAATTTTCTCCTGCAAAAAAAAAGAAAAAGAAAATGTTAGTTAGTTACTAACTTCTTAGTTTATCCCCTAGTAATATCACCAGAATCTAGTAATATCCTCAGATTTTAGAAAAATAACCAGATTTAGTGACTTTTTCAAAATTTAATAATATATCCCCAGAATCTAGCAATATCCCCAAAATCTAGTAATATCACCAGAATCTAGTAATATCCCCTAAATTGTAAAATTTTCACAGTTTTTTTCTCATGCGAAAAAGAAAAAAAAATCCGGTCGAATGTAGAGGAGATTTCATTTCCAAGGAATGCTTTTATTATAATTTTTCTTTGCATTTTATAATATGTAATCGTTTTATTCGAATTTAGCACTCTTGATTTGTCAGTCTAAAATTATTTAGAACTCATCAGGACAGTCTAGAATAATTTAGAACTCTCCAGAACAGTTTATAATCATTTAGAACTATTCAGAACAGTCTATAATGATTTAGAACTATTTAGAACAGTTTAGAAAGCATTCTTTCAATAAACCAAGATTATTCTCTACTCTACTTTAATCTACTCTTTACTCTCTACTCTACGAATTACTAAATTCAAAAAAATCTTTCTCTCGATAAAACGAGGTATTACACATCTCCTTAATCTATTCTCTATACTTTCTGTACTACTGTCCTCTATTCTCTACTATCTACAATCGTTTAGGACAGTACAGAATCGTTTAGAACTCTTTAGAACTGTCCGGAACACTCTTGAACCATTTTGAACTGTCGAGAATGCCTAAGAACAGTTCTGAACGATCTAGAATGATGTAGGACGCTTCTGATCGATTTAGAATAGTCTATAAAACCATTTAGAAATGTCGAAAATGATTTAGAACACTTCAGAACTTGTCTAGAATGATTTCTGATGATAGAACGTTTCGAAACTATCTAGAATCGTTTAGAGCGCTTTAAAACTGTCTAGAATCATTTAGAGCACTTCAGAACCGTCCAGAATGTCTAGAATGATTTAGAACGTTTCTAAACGATTTAGAATAGTCTAAAACCATTTAGAACTGTAGAGAATGATTTAGAACAGTCCAGAACTGTCTAGAATCATTTAGAAGGCTTCAAAAGTGTCCAGAATCATTTACAACTCTTCAGAACTGTCTAGAATCATTTAGAACTCTTCTGAACAGTCTAGAATGTCTAGAATGATTAAGAACGTTTCTAAACGATTTAGAACAGTCTAAAACCATTTAGAACTGTCGAGAATGATTTAGAACAGTCCAGAACTGTCTAGAATCATTTAGAAGGCTTCAAAAGTGTCCAGAATCATTTACAACTCTTCAGAACTGTCTAGAATCATTTAGAAGGCTTCAAAAGTGTCCAGAATCATTTACAACTCTTCAGAACTGTCTAGAATCATTTAGAACTCTTCTGAACAGTCTAGAATGTCTAGAATGATTAAGAACGTTTCTAAACGATTTAGAACAGTCTAAAACCATTTAGACCTGTCGAGAATGATTTAGAACAGTCCAGAACTGTCTAGAATCATTTAGAAGGCTTCAAAAGTGTCTAGAATCGTTTAGAACGCTTCAAAAGTGTCCAGAATGATTTAGAACAGTCCAGAACTGTTTAGAATCATTTTGGAACGCTTCAAAACTGTCCAGAATCATTTAGAACGGTCCAGAACTGTTTAGAATCATTTTGGAACGCTTCAAAAGAGTCCAGAATGATTTAGAACGGCCCAAAACTGTTTAGAATCATTTTGGAACGCTTCAAAACTGTCCAGAATCATTTAGAACGGTCCAGAACTGTTAAGAATCATTTTGGAACGCTTCAAAACTGTCCAGAATCATTTAGAACGGTCCAGAACTGTTTAGAATCATTTTGGAACGCTTCAAAAGTGTCCAGAATCATTTAGAACGGTCCAGAACTGTTTAGAATCATTCTGGAACGCTTCAAAAGAGTCCAGAATGATTTAGAACGGCCAAAACTGTTTAGAATCATTTTGGAACGCTTCAAAACTGTCCAGAATCATTTAGAACGGTCCAGAACTGTTAAGAATCATTTTGGAACGCTTCAAAACTGTCCAGAATCATTTAGAACGGTCCAGAACTGTTTAGAATCATTCTGGAACGCTTCAAAAGAGTCCAGAATGATTTAGAACGGCCCAAAACTGTTTAGAATCATTTTGGAACGCTTCAAAACTGTCCAGAATCATTTAGAACGGTCCAGAACTGTTAAGAATCATTTTGGAACGCTTCAAAACTGTCCAGAATCATTTAGAACGGTCCAGAACTGTTTAGAATCATTTTGGAACGCTTCAAAAGTGTCCAGAATCATTTAGAACGGTCCAGAACTGTTTAGAATCATTCTGGAACGCTTCAAAAGAGTCCAGAATGATTTAGAACGGCCCAAAACTGTTTAGAATCATTTTGGAACGCTTCAAAACTGTCCAGAATCATTTAGAACGGTCCAGAACTGTTAAGAATCATTTTGGAACGCTTCAAAACTGTCCAGAATCATTTAGAACGGTCCAGAACTGTTTAGAATCATTTTGGAACGCTTCAAAACTGTCCAGAATCATTTAGAAGGGTCCAGAACTGTTTAGAATAATTTTGGAACGCTTCAAAAGTGTCCAGAATCATTTAGAACCGGTCCAGAAGTGTTTAGAATCATTCTGGAACGCTTCAAAAGAGTCCAGAATGATTTAGAACGGCCCAAAACTGTTTAGAATCATTTTGGAACGCTTCAAAACTGTCCAGAATCATTTAGAACGGTCCAGAACTGTTTAGAATCATTCTGGAAACGCTTCAAAAGAGTCCAGAATGATTTAGAACGGCCCAAAACTGTTTAGAATCATTTTGGAACGCTTCAAAACTATCCAGAATGATTTAAAACGCTTCTTAATTGTCTAAAATCATTCAGAATGCTTCTGAACCATTTAGAACTGTTGAGAATTGTTTAGAACAGTCCAGAACTGTCTAGAATCATTTAGAACGCTTCAAAACTGTCCGGAATCATTTACAACTCTTCAGAACTGTCTAGAATCATTTAGAAATCTTCTGAACAGTCTAAAATAATTTAGAACTGTCTAGAAAAATTTTGAACAATCTAGAAACATTTAGAACTCATCATTCACAGAACAGTTTAGAATCATTGACTAAATTTCCAAATTCAAAATCATTCTTTTAATAAACCGAGATTATTCTCGACTCTACTTTATACTCTACGAATTAATAAATTCAAAATCATACTCTCTATACTCTCAATTCTCTACTCCACTCTACTTTATTCTACTCTACTCTCCTATACTCTTCTCTCATCACCACTCCTCACCGCTACTCTACTCTCTATTCTCTCTACTCCCCACGATTGAATTAAATCCACTACTAAATTAAAATCATACTCTCTATACTCTATCTACTCTACTCTACTCTACTCTACTCTACTCTACTCTACTCTACTCTACTCTACTCTACTCTACTCTACTCTACTCTACTCTACTCTACTCTACTCTACTCTACTCCACGAACATACAATACAAATTACTAAATTTAAAATCATACTCTCTATACTACTTCTCTACTCTACTCAACTCTAATCAACTCTACTCAACTCTACTAAAAACTCTACTCAACTCCACTCAACTCTACTCAACTTTACTCAACTCAACTTTACTCAACTCTTATCTACTCTACTCAACTCTACTCAACTCTTCTCAACTTTACTCAACTCAACTTTACTCAACTCTACTAAAAACTCTACTCAACTCTACTAAAAACTCTACTCAACTCTACTCAACTTTACTCAACTCAACTCAACTTTACTCAACTCTACTCTACTCTACTCAACTCTACTCTACTCAACTCTACTCTACTCTACTCCACGAACATACAATACAAATTACAAAATTTAAAATCATACTTTCTATACTACTTCTCTACTCTACTCAACTCTAATCAACTCTACTCTACTCAACTCTACTCAACTTTACTAAAAACTCTACTAAAAGCTCTACTCAACTCTACTCAACTTTACTCAACTCAACTCAACTTTACTCAACTCTACTCTACTCTACTCTACTCTACTCTACTCTACTCCACTATACTCTACTCTACTCTACACTCTACTCCACGAATATACAATACAAATTACTAAATTCAAAATCATACTCTCTATACTCTCAATTCTCTACTCTACTCCACACACTACTCTACACTTTACTCCACGATTGAATTAAATCCACTTACTAAATTCAAAATCATACTCTCTATACTCCCAATTCTCTACTTTATTCTACTCTACTCTCCTATACTCTTCTCTCATCACCCCTCCTCACCGCTACTCTACTCTACTCCCCTCTCCTCTCTATTCTCTCTACTCCACGATTGAATTAAATCCACTAACTAAATTTAAAATCATACTCTCTATACTCTCAATTCTCTACTCTACTCTACTCTACACTCTACTCTAACACTCTACTCCACGAATATACAATACAAATTACTAAATTTAAAATCATACTCTCTATACTCTCAATTCTCTACTCTACTCTACTCTACACTCTACTCTACACTCTACTCTACACTCTACTCCACGAATATACAATACAAATTACTAAATTTAAAATCATACTCTCTATACTCTCAATTCTCTACTCTATTCTACTCTACACTCTACTCCACGAATATACAATACAAATTACTAAATTCAAAATCATACTCTCTATACTCTCAATTCTCTACTCCACTCTACTTTATTCTACTCTACTCTCCTATACTCTTCTCTCATCACCCCTCCTCACCGCTACTCTACTCTCCTCTCTATTCTCTCTACTCCACGATTGAATTAAATCCACTTACTAAATTCAAAATCATAATCTCTATACTCTCAATTCTCTACTCCATTCTACTTTATTCTACTCTACTCTCCTATACTCTTCTCTCATCACCCCTCCTCACCGCTACTCTACTCTACTCTCCTCTCTATTCTCTCTACTCCACGATTGAATTAAATCCACTTACTAAATTCAAAATCATACTCTCTATACTCTCAATTCTCTACTCCACTCTACTCTCCTATACTCTTCTCTCATCACCCCTCCTCACCGCTACTCTACTCTATTCTCCTCTCTATTCTCTCTACTCCACGATTGAATTAAATCCACTTACTAAATTTAAAATCATACTCTCTATACTCTATTCTACTCTACTCTACTCTACTCTACTCTACTCTACTCTACTCTACTCTACTCTACTCTACTCTACTCTACTCTACTCTACTCTACTCTACTCTACTCTACTCTACTCTACTCTACTCTACTCTACTCTACTCTACTCTACTCTACTCTACTCTACTCTACTCTACTCTACTCTACTCTACTCTACTCTACTCTACTCTACTCTACTCTACTCTACTCTACTCTACTCTACTCTACTCTCCTCTACTCTACTCCACGAACATACAATACAAATTACTAAATTTAAAATCATACTCTCTATACTACTTCTCTACTCTACTCTACTCAACTCTAATCAACTCTACTCAACTCTACTCAACTCTACTAAAAACTCTACTCAACTCCACTCAACTCTACTCAACTTTACTCAACTCAACTTTACTCAACTCTACTCTAATCAACTCTACTCAACTCTACTAAAAACTCTACTAAAAACTCTACTAAAAACTCTACTCAACTCCACTCAACTCTACTCAACTTTACTCAACTCAACTTTACTCAACTCTACTCTACTCTACTCAACTCAACTCTACTCAACTCTACTAAAAACTCTACTAAAAACTCTACTAAAAACTCTACTCAACTCCACTCAACTCTACTCAACTTTACTCAACTCTACTCAACTCAACTCTACTCAACTCTTCTCAACTTTACTCAACTCAACTTTACTCAACTCTACTAAAAACTCTACTCAACTCTACTCAACTTTACTCAACTCAACTTTACTCAACTCTACTCTACTCTACTCTACTCTACTCAACTCTACTCTACTCTACTCTACTCTACTCTACTCTACTCTACTCTACTCTACTCCACGAACATACAATACAAATTTAAAAATTTAAAATCATACTCTCTATACTACTTCTCTACTCTACTCAACTCTAATCAACTCTACTCTACTCAACTCTACTCAACTCTACTCAACTTTACTCAACTCAACTCAACTTTACTCAACTCTACTCTACTCTACTCTACTCTACTCCACTATACTCTACTCTACTCTACACTCTACTCCACGAATATACAATACAAATTACTAAATTCAAAATCATACTCTCTATACTCTCAATTCTCTACTCTACTCCACACACTATACTCTACACTCTACTCCACACACTACTCTACACTCTACTCCACGATTGAATTAAATCCACTTACTAAATTCAAAATCATACTCTCTATACTCTCAATCCTCTACTCCACTCTACTTTATTCTACTCTACTCCACGATCGAACAACACCAAATATACTAAATTTAAAAATCATCCTCTCTCTCTCTCTCTCTCTCTCTATATCCCTTTACAAAACGCCATTTAAATCACCTTTGCTCTTCGGTGGGCTCCTCCTCGAAATCGTCCTCGTTGGGCGGCTCCAAATAATCCAGGAGCCTCTGCGAGGCCAGGGCAGACATCAAGTTACCGCAGACTTTGGGCCCCAAGCCGGCGTAGCACCCGGCGAAGCCGTCTACGCTCTTTATGTATTTCACTGGAAAAGACAAAGATAAATACAGTTTCGATTAGGCTTCGTTCGAGAGAGTGAAAGCGAGAAAGAGAAAGAAAAAGGGGATCTCTACGAGGAGCCTCGAAAAGGGATTTTCTTATTCGAAAGAGCTGGATGATTGAAGAGTTGAAGAGTTAGAGGCCAGCGAAGGATTCCCTTTTTCTTTTCTCTTTCTTTCGGTTTGTGAGGCTTTTCGAGGGGGTTCGATCGAGTACCGTATTCGAAGATGTTGGGCAGTTTGAGGGCGGGTTTTCCGAACAGCGTTTTGGCCGGTCTGGGCGGAATCGGTTCGTAACCGATCTGGAAACAATTCGAAACAGTAAAACGAGTTTATAAATGGTTTCCAAACTAACCTGTATGAGGACTTTGGCGTATTCGAACGGATGGGACACGGTGTTGATGATGACGCGCAGCGCGTAATTCGACCAGCGGTTTTCCTTGTGCTTCGACATGGCGGAAAATCGCGGCGGTTTTTCTCGTTGTTCCTGCGTTTAATTCGGATTTTGGTTGTCGGGATTTTGTTGTTGGAATTCTATCGAAGTGAATTTTTGAGGGGATATCTGTCAGCTGTCAAAAGTCGAACGGAGCGGGCGACTCGATTCGAATCGTTCGTGGAAATTCGAAGGTGAATTCGGTCGTAAACGGTGTTGGAAGGTTGCGAAAAGCGATATAAATGAATTGTAATTTTCGATAATTTCGAATTTCGAACAAAAATGTATCTAAAAGTTGTGGCTGGATAACCGCGTGGACGGAGCCTCGGTAGGTGAGAAAGCGGCGAACGTCATTAGTGTCAATTGGTTTTGTCGAATGGAAATTATGCGATTTTACTCGAAATTACGATGAAACGAATCAACAGGTACGGAATTTACATCTAATTGAATTAATTTTATGTTTTCTTTGATGTTAATAGAAAAATTTCGGTGCTCGATAAAATTTACAAACAACCTAAAGGAACAAGAAGGATACGTCAGCTGTCATTGGTGTAAATTGATTTGTGGTAAAAATTGGGTGATTTTACTCGAAATTATAATAAAACTAATCACCAGGTGCGTAATTTACATAAAAAATTAGATATTTTTTGATAGTAATAGAAATTTTCAGAACTCATCGAAATTTTATTACTCGATATAAAAGAAGAAAAAGCCAGCTGTCATTCATGTCAATTTGTCGAATCAACGAAAGTCGAAAGAAAATTATGTTATTTTACTGGAAATTATAATAAAACAAACCAACAGGTACTTAATTTACATAACTGATAATCTAATTGAATAAATTATATATTTTCTTTGATATTAATAGAAAAATTTCGGAGCTCAATAAAATTTAAAAAAACCTAAAGGAACAAGAAGGACACGTCAGCTGTCATTAGTGTAAATTAATTTGTGGTAAAAATTAGGTAATTTTACTCGAAATTATAATAAAACAAATCACCAGGTGCGTAATTTACATAAAAATTAATCATTAAATTACATATTTTTTGACAGTAATAGAAATTTTCAGAACTCGAAATTTTATAACTCGATATTAAAAGAAGAAAACGTCAGCTGTCATTAATGTCAATTTGTCGAATCAACGAAAGTCCAAAGAAAATTGTTAACTTACTCGAAATTATAATAAAACAAATCACCAGGTGCGTAATTTACATAACTATTAATCATTAAATTACATATTTTTCGATAATAATAGAAATTTCTAGCACTTATCAAATCATTAAAACTCGATATAAAAGAAGAAAACGTCAGCTGTCGCCTGTCATTAATGTCAATTAATTTGTCGAATCAACGAAAGTCGAAAGAAAATTATGTTATTTTACTGGAAATTATAATAAAACAAACCAACAGGTACGTAATTCACATAACTTACAATCCGCTTTAATCAAATTCCACGTTTTTTCAGCTAGAAATAACCAAAATCCAGCGCTCGCGACGATGAACTCGAAGCGCCTCTAACCGCCTCTAACTCGCTCAAATTCGCCCAAATTCGCCCCCTTAAATCCACAAAAAAAAACCAATGGAGAAGAAACCGTCGAAATGGACGTCCCGCCTGCGCAGGCTCGCCCTCCGCCCGGGCACTCGGAAACAACAAGAAGAAGAAGATAACTCGTTTTAGGAAACGAGTTTTGCGTTTAGAAAACGAGGAAGATAACTCGGTTTTGCTCGTTTTTCCTGCGTTAAATTCGGATTTTGGTTGTCGGGATTTTGTCGTTGGAATTCTATCGAAGTGAATTTTTGAGGGGATATCTGTCAGCTGTCAAAAGTCGAACGGAGCGGGCGACTCGATTCGAATCGTTCGCGGAAATTCGAAGGTGAATTCGGTCTTAAAAGGTGTTGGAAGGTTACGAAAAGCGATATAAATGAATTGTAATTTGCGATAATTTCGAATTTCGAACAAAAATGTATCTAAAAGTTGTGGCTGGATAACCGCGTGGACGGAGCCTCGGTAGGTGAGAAAGCGGCGAATGTCATTAGTGTCAATCGGTTTTGTCGGATGGAAATTATGCGATTTTACTCGAAATTACGATGAAACGAATTAACAGGTACGGAATTTACATCTAATTGAATTAATTATATATTTTCTTTGATGTTAATAGAAAAATTTAAGAGCTCAATAAAATTTAAAAAAACCTAAAGGAACAAGAAGGACACGTCAGCTGTCATTAGTGTAAATTAATTTGTGGTAAAAATTAGGTAATTTTACTCGAAATTATAATAAAACAAATCACCAGGTGCGTAATTTACATAAAAATTAATCATTAAATTACATATTTTTTGACAGTAATAGAAATTTTCAGTACTCATTAAAATTTTATAACTCAATATTAAAAGAAGAAAACGTCAGCTGTCATTAATGTCAATTTGTCGAATCAACGAAAGTCCAAAAAAAATTGTTAACTTACTCGAAATTATAATAAAACAAATAACCAGGTACGTAATTTACATAAAAATTATTCATTATATTACATATTTTTTGACAGTAATAGAAATTTTCAGAACTCGAAATTTTATAACTCGATATTAAAAGAAGAAAACGTCAGCTGTCATTAATGTCAATTTGTCGAATCAACGAAAGTCCAAAAAAAATTGTTAACTTACTCGAAATTATAATAAAACAAATCACCAGGTGCGTAATTTACATAACTATTAATCATTAAATTACATATTTTTCGATAATAATAGAAATTTCTAGCACTTATCAAATCGTTAAAACTCGATATAAAAGAAGAAAACGTCAGCTGTCATTAATGTCAATTAATTTGTCGAATCAACGAAAGTCGAAAGAAAATTATGTTATTTCACTGGAAATTACAATAAAACAAACCAACAGGTACTTCATTCACACAACTTACAATCCACTCTAATCAAATTCCACGTTTTTTCAGCTAGAAATAACCAAAATCCAGCGCTCAAGACGATGAACTCGAACCGCCTCTAACCGCTCAAATTCGCCCAAATTCGCCCAAATTCGCCCCCTAAAATCCAGATAAAAAAACCAATGGAGAGGAAACCGTCGAAATGGACGTCCCGCCTGCGCAGGCTCGCCCTCCGCCCGGGCACTCGGAAACAACAACAAGAAGAAGAAGATAACTCGGAGCCCGTCCTGTATCGAAGGACCCCGCCTCAGAACGACGGGGAGCCCCCCGGGCACCAGCGGAGCTCAAACAGTTGGCGCAGGAGCATCGTTAAGATGCACTCGAGCGTGAAGAGCGCTTTCAAAAGACACGGCAATCGAACGCCCCCTCCGATATCGGAGGCCTCTCGTAACGATAACCGAGTGAGTTAAATGAATAGTTAAAGGCCAGTTTAGTGATTTAGGATTCATATAGACATATATTTTATATATTTAGCTTTATATAGATAGAAGAATTGATCGTTTAGTATTAATAGAACCCCCTCGATCGATCTATGATATCTCTCTTAAAGATAACCGAGTGAGTTAACTGAACAGTCGAAGGCCAGTTTTGTATTTTAAGCTTTATATAGACATATATTTTATATATTTAGCTTTATATAGATAGAAGAATTGATCGTTTTGTGCTAATCGAACGCTCCAATCGATCTATGATATCTCTCTTAAAGATAACCGAGTGAGTTAACCGAACAGTCGAAGGCCAGTTTTGTATGTTAAGCTTTATATAGACATATATTTTATATATTTAGCTTTATATAGATAGAAGAATTGATCGTTTTGTGCTAATCGAACGCTCCAATCGATCTATGATATCTCTCTTAAAGATAACCGAGTGAGTTAACCGAACAGTCGAAGGCCAGTTTTGTATTTTAAGCTTTATATAGACATATATTTTATATATTTAGCTTTATATAGATAGAAGAATTGATCGTTTAGTATTAATCGAACCCCCCCGATCGATCTATGATATCTCTCTTAAAGATAACCGAGTGAGTTAACCGAATAGTCGAAGGCCAGTTTTGTATTTTAAGCTTTATATAGACATATATTTTATATATTTAGCTTTATATAGATAGAAGAATTGATCGTTTAGTATTAATAGAACCCCCTCGATCGATCTATGATATCTCTCTTAACGATAACCGAGTGAGTTAACCGAATAGTCGAAGGCCAATTTTGTATTTTAAGCTTTATATAGACATATATTTTATATATTTAGCTTTATATAGATAGAAGAATTGATCGTTTAGTATTAATCGAACCCCCTCGATCGATCTATGATATCTCTCTTAAAGATAACCGAGTGAGTTAACCGAACAGTCGAAGGCCAGTTTAGTATTTTAAGATTCATATAGACATATATTTTATATATTTAGCTTTATATAGATAGAAGAATTGATCGTTTTGTGCTAATTGAACGCTCCAATCGATCTATGATATCTCTCTTAAAGATAACCGAGTGAGTTAACCGAACAGTCGAAGGCCAGTTTTGTATGTTAAGCTTTATATAGACATATATTTTATATATTTAGCTTTATATAGATAGAAGAATTGATCGTTTTGTGCTAATCGAACGCCCCAATCGATCTATGATATCTCTCTTAAAGATAACCGAGTGAGTTAACCGAACAGTCGAAGGCCAGTTTTGTATTTTAAGCTTTATATAGACATATATTTTATATATTTAGCTTTATATAGATAGAAGAATTGATCGTTTTGTGCTAATCGAACGCTCCAATCGATCTACGATATCTCTCTTAAAGATAACCGAGTGAGTTAACCGAACAGTCGAAGGCCAGTTTTGTATGTTAAGCTTTATATAGACATATATTTTATATATTTAGCTTTATATAGATAGAAGAATTGATCGTTTAGTATTAATCGAACCCCCCCGATCGATCTATGATATCTCTCTTAAAGATAACCGAGTGAGTTAACCGAATAGTCGAAGGCCAGTTTTGTATTTTAAGCTTTATATAGACATATATTTTATATATTTAGCTTTATATAGATAGAAGAATTGATCGTTTAGTATTAATAGAACCCCCTCGATCGATCTATGATATCTCTCTTAACGATAACCGAGTGAGTTAACCGAATAGTCGAAGGCCAATTTTGTATTTTAAGCTTTATATAGACATATATTTTATATATTTAGCTTTATATAGATAGAAGAATTGATCGTTTAGTATTAATCGAACCCCCTCGATCGATCTATGATATCTCTCTTAAAGATAACCGAGTGAGTTAACCGAACAGTCGAAGGCCAGTTTAGTATTTTAAGCTTTATATAGACATATATTTTATATATTTAGCTTTATATAGATAGAAGAATTGATCGTTTTGTGCTAATCGAACGCTCCAATCGATCTACGATATCTCTCTTAACGATAACCGAGTGAGTTAACCGAACAGTCGAAGGCCAGTTTAGTATTTTAAGCTTTATATAGACATATATTTTATATATTTAGCTTTATATAGATAGAAGAATTGATCGTTTAGTATTAATCGAACCCCCCCCGATCGATCTATGATATCTCTCTTAAAGATAACCGAGTGAGTTAACCGAACAGTCGAAGGCCAGTTTAGTATTTTAAGCTTTATATAGACATATATTTTATATATTTAGCTTTATATAGATAGAAGAATTGATCGTTTTGTGCTAATCGAACGCTCCAATCGATCTATGATATCTCTCTTAACGATAACCGAGTGAGTTAACCGAACAGTCGAAGGCCAGTTTAGTATTTTAAGCTTTATATAGACATATATTTTATATATTTAGCTTTATATAGATAGAAGAATTGATCGTTTTGTGCTAATTGAACGCTCCAATCGATCTACGATATCTCTCTTAATGATAAACCGAACAGTCGAAGGCCAGTTTTGTATGTTAAGCTTCATACAGACATGTATTTTATACAGGGTGTGTACTATAAAAACCGCCAAACTTCAGGAGGTGATTATACAAGTAATTTTGAACAAAAAAAATGTCCTATAACACTTTTTCGAAAAGTCGATAGTTTCTCTTTTATTTAACATTTCATTATTTTAATTTTTTTTTGTTTCTTCCAAAAAGACCGAAATATCACATTTATGTGATACTAAAGTAGAATGAGGGTTTTCCGGCTATACTTTTAAAGACCTGTATCTTCCTGTAACAGGCTTATGAAAGATTTTTTAAGGCAAATTTTGGCATTTTCTTTACATTTTTTTCATTTTTTTTACACAGAATCACTAATTAATTTTTTGTAGAAATTTTATTTTCGGTATATTCTTGTTTGAACAACTCTTTGTATTTTATAACATATACCTTTACAACATACCTTTTTACAAAAAATTTCTACAAAAAAAATTTACTCAATATATGAGCTTATTAAATTCAGTAGTTTTTGCTAAAAGAAAAAAACTTTTCATAATCATAACAATTAAATCTTTTATAACACCCGGTATTGATTTTTTTAAAACTCTGATAAATACTTTTTTTATAGTAAATTTAATGCAGATATTTAGTTACTTTTTCAAAATTTAGTAACATCCCTAGATTTTAGTAAAATTACCAGATTTAGTGACTTTCAAAATTTAGTATTGTCCAAAGAATTTTACTAAAATTACCAGATTTAGTGACTTTTTCAAAATTTAATATTACCAAATTTTAGTAAAATTGCCAGAATTAGAAGCTTTTTCAAAATTTAGTAACATCCCTAGATTTTAGTAAAATTACTAGATTTAGTAACTTTTTCAAAATTTAGTAACATCCCTAGATTTTAGTAAAATTACTAGATTTAGTGACATTTTTTTCATTTTTTTTTTACACAGAATCACTAATTAATTTTTTGTAGAAATTTTATTTTCGGTATATTCTTGTTTGAACAACTCTTTGTATTTTATAACATATACCTTTACAATATACCTTTTTACAAAAAATTTCTACAAAAAAAAACTATTTTTAAATTGAGTAAAAATTTACTCAATATATGAGCTTATTAAATTCAGTAGTTTTTGCTAAAAGAAAAAAACTTTTCATATTCATAACAATTAAATCTTTTATAACACCCGGTATTGATTTTTTTAAAACTCTGATAAATACTTTTTTTATAGTAAATTTAATGCAGATTTTGTTACTTTTTTAAAATTTAGTAACATCCCTAGATTTTAGTAAAATTACCAGATTTAGTGACTTTTTCAAAATTTAATATTACCAAATTTTAGTAAAATTGCCAGAATTAGTAACTTTTTCAAAATTTAGTAACATCCCTAGATTTTAGTAAAATTACTAGATTTAGTAACTTTTTCAAAATTTAGTAACATCCCTAGATTTTAGTAAAATTACTAGATTTAGTAACTTTTTCAAAATTTAATATTACCAAATTTTAGTAAAATTGCCAGAATTAGTAACTTTTTCAAAATTTAGTAACATCCCTAGATTTTAGTAAAATTACTAGATTTAGTAACTTTTTCAAAATTTAGTAACATCCCTAGATTTTAGTAAAATTACTAGATTTAGTAACTTTTTCAAAATTTAGTAACATCCCTAGATTTTAGTAAAATTACTAGATTTAGTAACTTTTTCAAAATTTAGTAACATCCCTAGATTTTAGTAAAATTACCAGATTTAGTGACTTTCAAAATTTAGTATTGTCCAAAGAATTTTACTAAAATTACCAGATTTAGTGACTTTCAAAATTTAATATTACCAAATTTTAGTAAAATTGCCAGAATTAGTAACTTTTTCAAAATTTAGTAACATCCCTAGATTTTAGTAAAATTACTAGATTTAGTAACTTTTTCAAAATTTAGTAACATCCCTAGATTTTAGTAAAATTACCAGATTTAGTGACTTTCAAAATTTAGTATTGTCCAAAGAATTTTACTAAAATTACCAGATTTAGTGACTTTCAAAATTTAATATTACCAAATTTTAGTAAAATTGCCAGAATTAGTAACTTTTTCAAAATTTAGTAACATCCCTAGATTTTAGTAAAATTACTAGATTTAGTGACATTTTTTTCATTTTTTTTACACAGAATCACTAATTAATTTTTTGTAGAAATTTTATTTTCGGTATATTCTTGTTTGAACAACTCTTTGTATTTTATAACATATACCTTTACAACATACCTTTTTACAAAAAATTTCTACAAAAAAAAATTACTCAATATATGAGCTTATTAAATTCAGTAGTTTTTGCTAAAAGAAAAAAACTTTTCATAATCATAACAATTAAATCTTTTATAACACCCGGTATTGATTTTTTTAAAACTCTGATAAATACTTTTTTTATAGTAAATTTAATGCAGATTTAGTGACTTTCAAAATTTAGTAACATCCCTAGATTTTAGTAAAATTACCAGATTTAGTGACTTTTTCAAAATTTAGTATTGTCCAAAGAATTTTGTAAAATTACCAGATTTAGTGACTTTTTCAAAATCTAGTAACATCCCGAAAAATCTAGTCACATCCCCAAAAAAAATCTAGTAATTATCCAACTATACTTTCTTTTTCTTCTAAAAATATGATCCCTAGTAATTTTCTTAGAATTATTTAAAATTGCGAGATTTTCAAAATTTAGTAATTTCCCTAGATTTTAGTAAAATTACCAGATTTAGTGACATTTTTTTCTTTTTTTTACACAGAATCACTAATTAATTTTTTGTAGAAATTTTATTTTCGGTATATTCTTGTTTGAACAACTTTGTATTTTATAACATATACCTTTACAACATACCTTTTTACAAAAAATTTCTACAAAAAAAATTTACTCAATATATGAGCTTATTAAATTCAGTAGTTTTTGCTAAAAGAAAAAAACTTTTCATATTCATAACAATTAAATCTTTTATAACACCCGGTATTGATTTTTTTAAAACTCTGATAAATACTTTTTTTATAGTAAATTTAATGCAGATTTAGTTACTTTTTTAAAATTTAGTAACATCCCTAGATTTTAGTAAAATTACCAGATTTAGTGACTTTCGAAAATTTAGTAATTTCCATAGAATTTTAGACTTTTTCAAAAATTTAGTAATTTTCCTAGAATTTTGGTAAAATCACCAGATTTAGAGAATTTTTCAAATTTTAGTAATTTCCCTATAATTTTGTAAAATCACCAGATTTAGTGACTTTTTCAAAATTTAATATTACCAAATTTTAGTAAAATTGCCAGAATTAGTAACTTTTTCAAAATTTAGTAACATCCCTAGATTTTAGTAAAATTACTAGATTTAGTGACTTTCAAAATTTAGTATTGTCCAAAGAATTTTACTAAAATTACCAGATTTAGTGACTTTTTCAAAATTTAATATTACCAAATTTTAGTAAAATTGCCAGAATTAGTAACTTTTTCAAAATTTAGTAACATCCCTAGATTTTAGTAAAATTACCAGATTTAGTGACTTTCAAAATTTAGTATTGTCCAAAGAATTTTACTAAAATTACCAGATTTAGTGACTTTTTCAAAATTTAATATTACCAAATTTTAGTAAAATTGCCAGAATTAGTAACTTTTTCAAAATTTAGTAACATCCCTAGATTTTAGTAAAATTACCAGATTTAGTGACTTTTTCAAAATTTAATATTACCAAATTTTAGTAAAATTGCCAGAATTAGTAACTTTTTCAAAATTTAGTAACATCCCTAGATTTTAGTAAAATTACTAGATTTAGTGACATTTTTTTCATTTTTTTTTTTACACAGAATCACTAATTAATTTTTTGTAGAAATTTTATTTTCGGTATATTCTTGTTTGAATAACTTTGTATTTTATAACATATACCATTACAACATTCCTTTTTACAAAAAAATTTCTACAAAAAAAATTTACTCAATATATGAGCTTATTAAATTCAGTAGTTTTTGCTAAAAGAAAAAACTTATGAATTTTATAAAATTGTTGGCTTTACGACCATTAAAAGATACATATAAATATGTTCATTTCATATTCATAACAATTAAACCTTTTATAACAACCGGTAATGATTTTTTTAAAACTCTGATAAATACTTTTTTTATAGTAAATTTAATGCAGATTTTATCATCACTTTTTCAAACTATAGTAATATTACCAGATTTTAATAAAATCACCAGATTTAGTGACTTACAAAATCTAGAAATATCCCTAGAATTTTATAAAATCACCAGATTTATTGACTTCTTCAAAATATAGTAATATTACCAGATTTTAGTAAAATCACCAAATTTATTGACTTTTTCAAAATCTCGTAATATTTTCTTAAATTCGTTCTGGTTTATTAGAAAAATGTATAATTAAGTTGAAAAATTAAATTGCTATAAATAATTCCTTTTTAATAATTCCTTTACACTATCTAATTTGTTGTAAAAGGGGAGTTTTTTTTTTTGGTTTTTTTTTTTTAATGTTTTTGTCTAAAAAAATGTTATAAATTTATTTTTATTTAATTAAATTTTCAGACAATTAAGCGTCAATTTTAATAACGAAAAATCTCCTTAGTTGGTAGAGACTTTAAAATAACGTCATATTTTTATTCTTGATAAAAAAAAACATTAAAAATACAAAAAAAAAACAGAAAAAAAATTTCCGCACTCGCGGATTGAACCACAAACCTTCCCTTCGAAAATTTTAAATTTCAGTGCGTAAACCAACCCTGTTAATTCCGGCCATCTTTACAATTGTTAAATAGTCATATAAAAAATATATATTTATGACGTATGATTTTTTTTTTCAACTTAATTATACATTTTTTTAATTAAACCACAGCGAATTAAAAAAAAATAATTTCCATTTTGACTTATTTTACGATATTTTCAAATCTGTTATTATTTTTTACGAACGTTATTTGGTAAAAAAATCACCAGATTTTTAGTGACTTTTTCAAAATTTAGTAATATCCCTACATTTTATAAAATCACCAGATTTTAGTGACTTTTTCAAAATTTAGTAATATCTCTAGAATTTTGTAAAATTACCAGATTTAGTGACTTTTTCAAAATTTAGTAATATCCCTACATTTTATAAAATTACCAGATTTAGTGACTTTTTCAAAATTTAGTAATATCCCTACATTTTATAAAATCACCAGATTTTAGTGACTTTTTCAAAATTTAGTAATATCTCTAGAATTTTGTAAAATTACCAGATTTAGTGACTTTTTCAAAATTTAGTAATATCCCTAGATTTTTTAAAATTACCAGATTTAGTGACTTTTTCAAAATTTAGTAATATCCCTACATTTTATAAAATCACCAGATTTTAGTGACTTTTTCAAAATTTAGTAATATCTCTAGAATTTTGTAAAATTACCAGATTTAGTGACTTTTTCAAAATTTAGTAATATCCCTACATTTTATAAAATTACCAGATTTAGTGACTTTTTCAAAATTTAGTAATATCTCTAGAATTTTGTAAATTTACCAGATTTTAGTGACTTTTTCGAAATTTAGTAATATCCCTAGAATTTTATAAAATCACCAGATTTATTTACTTTTTCAAAATCTAGAAATATCCCTAGAATTTTATAAAATTACCAGATTTAGTGACTTTTTCAAAATATAGAAATATTACCAGATTTTAATAAAATCACCAGATTTAGTGACTTTTACAAAATCTAGAAATATCCCTAGATTTTTTAAAAAATTACCAGATTTACTGACTTACAAAATCAAGAAATATCCCTAGAATAAATTCACCACCATATTAAAATAAAATCACCAGATTTAGTGACTTTTACAAAATCTAATATTTTCTTAAATTCGTTCTGGAGTTTTTTTTTATTTTGGTTTTTTAATGTTTTTGTCTAAAAAAAATATTAAACAAAAATATTTAAAATAAGACAACCTTATTTAGCACATAAATTTATTTTTATTTAATTAAATTAAATTTAATTCGAACAGATCACGTTGGCTTCGAACGTACAACCCAAGGAAAACGCCTACTCGATCGAACCGATCGGAAGGACTTCCCCCATTGGAGGATCCATCGAAACCACCACCTCAAATCGAGTGAGTATCTCTAAAAAACGCTCTAAAAAAAAACACTCTGTAAATATTTACTTAAGCTGCTACTCTACTCGCGGATCGTTCTAAAATTTTTAGGGAAGTCTATAGAACTGATGCCGTTGAAATTTTCCGGGGGAAAGCTTTAGTTTTCGAGAAAAAAAATTATGAAAGTTGCCCTATTTTACGTTGCGCATTAACAATGTACGTCAAATGGCTGTAGCTCCGCCCACTTTTGCTAAATTTCTACGCCGCGTCTTCTTCTTCTTCTTCTTCTCCTTTGGCCTCCTGTCTAATGACGTACAGCCAGGTTCTGTGTTTTTTTCTAGAAAGAAAAGGTCTCAACTTTAATAGTTAGTTCATATGAAGAAATATATTTCTCTACCGTTCTACAATCATTATTTATTATTAGCTAAGCCATGCATATCAAATTTCTACAAGGCGTCTAAATTTCTATTTAAAGCGTTAAACCATTTTGTTTAAGGTATTTGATTAAAAGGTCCACTGATTTGGAGCCTGGATCTGTAAAGTAACGAATAAATATTAATGGGAGCTTGATTGTATTTAAGCAGTTTATTATACACCGTTGGAAAATTATTCGCGCATAATAGGGAAATCAATGTTAAATTCTTAGCCGTCTGAAATCCAGTCTACCAGTGCACATTTACATAAATAGAACGTCGCGATAAATTCTAATAAATTTAATTGTTCTACTGGACTTGACACCGCGATTTGGTTCGGTTAGATTAAAAATCAAATAATTTCGACGGTTTCGACACTTCGACAGTATCAAAACGGGTTCGGATGGGTGAACGTCGAGTCGAATATAAAGAAATGAGAATTTTTAAACGATAATTTATTGAAAAAATATCACTAATAATAAAATAGAATTATGTAGATATGTCTTTTTGCCACAATGGCTTGAAAAAGAAAGTAAATTCTAAGAAAATAATAAAAAGGAAACTCCAAAAATAAAATTAAAGATTAGGGATGTTACTAAATTTTGAAAAAGTTACTAATTCTGGCAATTTTACTAAAATTTGGTAATATTAAATTTTGAAAAAGTCACTAAATCTGGTAATTTTACTAAAATTCTTTGGACAATACTAAATTTTGAAAGTCACTAAATCTGGTAATTTTACTAAAATCTAGGGATGTTACTAAATTTTGAAAAAGTTACTAATTCTGGCAATTTTACTAAAATTTGGTAATATTAAATTTTGAAAAAGTTACTAATTCTGGCAATTTTACTAAAATTTGGTAATATTAAAATTTTGAAAAAGTCACTAAATCTGGTAATTTTAGTAAAATTCTTTGGAAAATACTAAATTTTGAAAGTCACTAAATCTGGTGATTTTACTAAAATCTAGGGATGTTACTAAATTTTGAAAAAGTCACTAAATCTGGTAATTTTACTAAAATCTAGGGATGTTATTAAATTTTGAAAAAGTCGATAAATCTGGTGATTTTACTAAAATCTAGGGATGTTATTAAATTTTGAAAGTCACTAAATCTGGTGATTTTACTAAAATCTAGGAATATTACTAGATTTTGAAAAAGTCACTAAATCTAAAAGAATTGAATAAACTTTAAAATAAATAAAATTCATCCACTCCACATTAACCTCTTTTTCACCGCCTTTTCTCATTTCCCTACCCCAGATCCACTCATTAATACATTCACCCTCCACCCCCCTCATCACTTCTCTACCCTACATCCACTCACAACCAACATAACCCTCCCTCCCATCTCCCCCCTCTGATCACTTCCCTACCCTACATCCACTCACAAATAACCTCACCCTCCACCCCCCTCATCACTTCTCTACCCTACATCCACTCACAACCAACATAACCCTCCCCCCCATCTCCCCACTCTGATCACTTCTCTACCCTACATCCACTTACTACCAACGTAACCCTCCTCCCCTAAGATCGACATGCATAATTAATGTGCACCAGATCGCTAACGGGTTGAAAATTACAAAACATTGAACGAAACATAATTTAAATTTTCCGAGTCGCGAAAATCGCCATTTTTTTCGGCGTAGGAATCTCGCAAAAGTGGGCGGAGCTACAGCCATATTTATGACGTAAATTGTTAATGCGCAACGTAAAATAGAGCAACTTTCATACATTTTTTTTCTCTCGAAAACTAGAGCTTTCCCCCCGGAAAATTTCCGCCGTTCGTCTTTTTCGACCGGTAAAAGTATCGAATCCTATGGAAACGCACACGCCCGATCGAAATATCGACGTTTCGACTCGATCAAATTTCATCTTCAGTGTGAAATAAGCGAAATCAACGTTTTTTTTTTTTCGGTTTTTCGCACTTTTCTCGAATCGAGTTCGTTCGATTCGCTTCAAAATCTCCCAAAAGATTCTCCATCGGTTCTCTCAACTTTCGTATATAGTTGTTTTCCAGGGAAAAATCGTTTCGGGAAAATATCGTGGAAAATAGATTTCGAGGGTTTTCTAAAAATCGAAATAACTCGTAAACGGTAAGATTTACGAACTTTTTTCATACTTGCGAAATAATCGAGAATTCTTTTTTTGTAATACATTCAACAAAAGAGACCGGGTGTTTTTCCGATCTGTACTTTTTGAGTTTTTTCGAAAAAAACCGTTTTTAAATCGTCTTCCAAGTTTGTAACGCGAAAACTCGGAAACTGTCGTCTTTTAGAAAATTTTAAGAGCGAAAATTTATAGATAGGACATTTTTCTATCTACCGAATTTTTTTCCCATTTTCTTAATTATTATTTATCGAATTATAAAGATATTTTTCGAAATCGATGCAAATATTTTACGGCAGCCGTCGAACCGGAAGATAAAACTTTCAAATCGCCGATGACGTAACGATCATTCCCGAATGAAATACAAAATGGACGACTTTTGCGTTTCCATGGATACGTTGACATTTAATTTGACGTATACAGGGTGTTTTTTTCATTAAGGAAATCGGAAAAATTGATATACGGGGCGTTTTTTTATCTTAAGCGAAAAATTATTTTTAATTAAATTAAAATATAGTATACAGGGCGATTCGTTTTTAAGGAAACGTTAATTACATAAACTCGAGCTCGCGCAGCGAGCGAGAATCGGATATGTATCTGTCTGCGTCGAAGCCAGGGGTGGAGGGGCGGAGCCCCTCCCGAGCCGATAACCGAGTCAGTTCTATAGACGCGTAGTCTACGAGCCCTAACAACTAAATGTTCGGACAAACAGTAATTTATTGAAAACGTTAACTTACACAAACTAAATTATTAAATTGAAGAACTACATTAACAATATATTAAAATCTATCATTTATAATAAACATTTAAATGGTTTGGTTTCTAAATACATTGAAATTCACTGTGTGCGAATAAATAAACAAAAATTATGCAAAATATCGTGACAACTAAATGTTCGGAAAATTTACAGAATTATTATTTTAATATGGCTTTACATCGCCACGCGCTTTTATAACCGCTGCAATCCTATCTGGCATTGTTTTTATTAACGCTTGACATAAATCAAGGTCAAAACTTTGCCATAATTCATCCAGTTTCTTCTTTAAATCGACAACGGTTCTTTGGGGATCATCACGCAATTTTTGTTTCATTTTATGCCATAATGTCTCGATGACATTAAGGTCCGGACTGTTCGAAGGCCATGCGAGGACATTAATGTTATTATCCCCAAACCATTTTTTAGTAGTTTTCGCAGTATGGCATGGAGCACCGTCCTGTTGGAATATAAAATTCATGTCCGGGTAAAGAGCTTCTGCGCTTGGCTCAAGACTATTTTTTAAAATTTCCTGATATTTTGCCGCATTAATTGTGCCTTCTACCACTTCATACCTTCCTAGACCCAGTGCGGACATGCACCCCCAAATCATAATTTTACAGTTCTTTTAAGGCAATCTTTATGAAATGCTTCATTTTTGGTTCTAATAACCCGTTTACGAAAGTCTCCCACACACACGTCAAACTTCGCCTCGTCACTAAATATGACTTTGGACCAGTCTTCAACTGTCCATGACATCTTCGATTTTGCCCAAATAAACCGATTTTTTTTCTGTTTTTCTGTTAGTAGAGGTTTTTCTTTCGCCTAAAGCATTACGAATAATAAAAAATCACGAATTTAATAAAATCTTTTAAACCGACCATATAAAAACTAAGTCCTGATTTGTGTATCCACTTTCTACAGCACTCTCTCGATAAAGTCTTTCCTGTTTCTGCATTCCACTCTGATGTAATAGCCCTTAAAGTGTTACGACGACCCCGTTTGCAAATTTTTACCAATATTCTTCGTTCCCTATCAGACACACTTCTCGGTCTTCCCGAACTTTTGCCTTTAGTTTGGAGACTTCCACTCTCACGATAGTGCTTAAGTATGTCCCCAACTGTCGACTTAGCCAAATCTAATTCATCCGCTATTTCGCGTATTTTTTTACCCTGACAATATTTTTTTATTATCAATTGACGAATTTTTACATTTGTCGCACTTCCTCTGGCCATTTTGGACAAAATTTATCTGATTTTTTGCAACACTATTTCTAGCTATAAGTAACTGTCAATTAATTACCAACTTAAAATAAGTAAACAACAAAGTTATGTATTTTATACACGGTAACTAGATAAATCCGAACATTTAGTTGTCACGATATTTTGCATAATTTTTGTTTATTTATAAAGGATAGATTTTAATATATTGTTAATGTAGTTCTTCAATTTAATAATTTAGTTTGTGTAAGTTAACGTTTTCAATAAAAAACTGTTTGTCCGAACATTTAGTTGTTAGGGCTCGTATATCTTCCCTAAAAATTTCAAAACGATGCGCGAGGAGAGTAGCAGCTTATAAGTAAACAATTACCGAATACTCTAAAAAACAAAAAAAAAACAACAACAACAACAACAACGTTTCCGTAGGA